TCTTATTAAATTTAAAAATGATTAGAAGAAGATTTAATTTAATAGGAAAAATTTGATTTTAAATACATAGTTTTTTAATATATCTAAACAATGTATTTAAAAATCCATGTATTTGAAATTCATTTTTTTTATTCAATCCAAATAATGTATTTTAAAATATGTGTATTTAAATTACATGTATTTTAAATACACTCATTAAATTCAAATTCAAGTTCCCAAACACAACCTGAATGAATTTACTTCTGTTAACTGACTGAATTTACTTCTGTTAACTGACAATTTCTGGTCATTTTTTGGCTTTAGATTCTCATTTTTCCTCTTTAGTTAGCCTCTATTTCAGTACTCAATACCCTTAATTATATCTGTGTATCTCTCTGTGTTCGATGCTAGAAACTCCAGTAATTTTGTAGGTTTTATTAATAAAAGATACCATCTCGTACGATTTACCCAAAAAATCTGGATAAATCTGTACTTCAATTCAACCTTGTTCTTAAGTTGCAAGCACCAAAAGGAGAATAATAGTTAACCCAAGGGATTGCAGCAGCTGCATCAGAAATGAAGATCTTCTCCTGTGATACGCAAACAATTTGCTTTAGTTTTACAATTTCATTAGTAGGTACCAGCTTGATCAAGATCTTCCCTCGTTGTTGCTATGAGTTTCTATTCACAACAAGAAAGCTGTCCTCTGAAACCAGTTGCTATGGGTTTTGTTATATACGCTTGATGAGCTTCAAGGATCTGGAGATGGGTTTTATGTCGTGGTTGGAGGGTTGACCCCAACTCCTCTTGGAGAAGGCAAGTCTACTCCTACTGTTGGGCTGTGTCAAGCTTTGGGTGAACTTCTGGATAAAAAGGTAATTGTCTTGTTGTTTGAACTTATGGCATTTCAGTGGGGTTTCGTTTTGTATACAGGTTTGGCGATAAGAAATTGCAAATCCACTGATGTGCTTTGACAGCAGTTGTAGAAAGAAAAGTGGTGTTATGTCAAGTGTTTTATGCTCACTGTTTTGCTGTTTGGTTGAAATGCTAGGTTGTTACCTGCCCTCGCCAACCATCGCAAGGACCAACCTTTGGAATTAAAGGGGGTGCAGCTGGTGGTGGTTACAGTCAGGTGATCCCAATGGATGAGTTCAGCCTTTATCTTACAGGTGATATCCATGCAAATAACTGCTGCAAGTAATCTTCTAGCTGCTGCCATTGATACTCAATTTTCCATGAGTCCAGTCAGTCAGATAAGGCTCTGTTTAATCGGTTGGGCCCACCAAATAAAGAAGGAAAGCGAAGCTTTAGTGATATCATGTTCAGACGTTTGAAGAAGCTTGGTATTTCCAAAACCAAGCCTGATCGAGGAACTTACACGTGAAGAAGTTAAAAGATTTGCTAGGCTTGACATTGACCCAAATTCTATCACATGGAGAAGAGTGATTGACGTGAATGATCGATTTTTGAGGGAGATTACCATTGGCCAGGGGCCAGAAGAAAAAGGGATGGTTAGGGAAACGGGATTTGATATTTCTGTTGCCAGTGAGATAATGGCAGTTTTAGCCCTGACATCACCTCTATCTGATATGAGAGAGAGGCTTGGGAAAATGGTGATTGGAAATAGCAAGGCTGGTGAACCTATAACTGCTAATGATCTTGGTGTTGGAGGTGCTCTAACAGTGCTTATGAAAGATGCTATTAACCCTACCTTGATGCAGACCCTTGAAGGGACCCTGTTCTTGTTCATGCGGGTCCTTTTGCAAATATTGCCCATGGTAATTCTTCTATCGTGGCTGATAAGCTGCATTGAAATTGGTTGGACCAGGTGGGTTTGTGGTCACTCAATCAGGTTTTGGTGCTGATATTGGAACTGACAAGTTCATGAATATCAAGTGTCGATATAGTGGTCTAACACCTCAACGTGCTGTTATTGTGGCAACAATAAGGGCCTTGAAGTTGCATGGTGGTGGGCCAAGGTTGTTGCTGGAAAGCCCCTTGACCATGCTTACTTGAATGAGAATGTATCATTGGTTGAAGCTGGTTGTGTGAATCTGGCCAGGCACATTGCTAACACAAAGGCTTATGGAGTAAATGTTGTTGTTGCTCTGAACATGTTCTCCACTGATACACGGGCAGAACTGGTTGCTGTTAGAAATGTGGCATTGGCTGCTGGAGCATTTAATACTGTAGTCTGTGCTCACCATGCTCATGGTGGAAAGGGAGTGGTTAGTCTTTTCTTCCACACTCAATATGTTTATTCTTTTTAGTTCTCTTGAAACCAAGTTACTTGAAGCAAAATAGCACTGTTGCAATCAGAACTGTGTGTGTGTGTGTGTGTTTATTTTCTTTTTCTTTTTCTAATGAAAAAATAGAGAATTTAATGTTTCCAGTCCATATGTGGCATCAGTTCTGGGAACTTATTTTATCTCAATCTTCTGCTTGCCTGACCATAACATTTGATTTGAGAAGCCCCTTTCCTTTTCAAAGAGTAACTGATGTTCCCTTTTCCCCTTTTCAAAGCCATAGTTTTCTAATGGTACTATCTGTAGCTGAACAATCAACTGAGATCTGTGCCCTAGTTTTCCTTGAACCCTGTATTTCTTCTTTAAATCCTCCTTGCACTTTATTATTTTTCTAATTAATGCTTCTTTGAAAATAACTATGCTATAAAATTTTATATCTTCTGCTGCTTGAGTTATATATTGTAAAATAAGCTGTACATTGTCTAGAACATGAATCAGTCCTGTCTAGTTTATTCAAGTTGTTGAACTTGAAAGATCCATGCCTTTCTAGTGGCAGACTGGTTGTAGTCTTATTTGAGTTCAGGTTGTTCTGCACTTTTATGTGATGCAGTGAAAGTGGATCGCTGTTTTAAGTTTTGACTGACTAATTTCATCTAATCTTCAGGTCGAGCCTGTTATTGCAGTTCAGAAGGCCTGTGAGAATGTTAAACAGTCATTGAAGTTTTTATATCCTTTGGATATTAGTATTAAAGAGAAAATAGGGGCAATAGCAAGGTGATAAGGTGCGAGTGGCGTTGAATACTCCGAGTGGGTAGACATGCCAGACATCTTTCACCAATATGCTCTATGCCTTAGATAATCAGTGCTAGTATTGGGTCACGTGGGGACAGGTTTTTCTTTTCCTTTTTTCTTTTTATATTTTTTTTCCAACCTGGCTGAGAACAGATTGAGATGTGCAGCAGGCAAGGCTTTTCTGGTCTAACAATCTGCATGGCAAAAACCCAGTATAATTTTCAGACAATGCTTCAGAAAAGGGAGCACCAAGTGGATTTATCTTACCAATAAGGGATGTAAGAGCTAGCATTGGAGCTGGATTGATTTATCCT